CTCACTATTACAACGTTGATGTGAACAACCTTCACTGGTCTCTCTCTTAGGTATACAAGGAAGACCCTCCAACAAGGAAAAAACAAACCCATCACAAGTTGGCTTTGAGAAGGGAAGCTAATATTCATAAATCACTGTAGCAGAACCAGGTACTATTCCAAGTACCAGCAGATACTAAGCTCATGCTCATGATCTTAGCATGGACCTGGGAGATGTGTGAGCGCCCACTGGTTGGGCAGCCTGGGAAGCACTGGAAATATTGACCCCAAATGGGTCAAGGCATTCATCTTTATTTCAGTTCACATTGTTCATCTCTGACTTGTCTTCTCTGAAGACATTTAAAGACAAAACTCTGACTCAGACTGCCTATGTTGTTCTCTTAGTCCATGACTTAGAATTTCTATTACCATGGGCATATTTATTCAAACATCCTGAACCTCAATTCCCTGATCTGTGAAATGGAAAGAGCATCCACCCTATAAAATAACTGAAAGGATTAATTGAGATTATCTATGAAGACACACTAAGTGTAGAGTTCAACCATGGCACAAAGTGAATCTTAGGCATAGTAAATGGGGGTGACAAATGATATTGAGTCTGTCTCTGCTTTATGTTGCTCTACTAAAAACAAAAGCAGATCATTAAATCCTTTCCCTACTAAACCTTCATGTTCTAAAAGGAGGGATACTTTACAAGCTGCCGAAGAAAGCCCACTGCCTGGGCTGATGGGTCGGTGGGTCTTGATGCATGGTGATGACTATGACTCCCTCTCCAGTACAGGCAGAGCACTGAGTTGTTAAGAACTTGGAAGAACTTGCCCTTCCCCTGCCAGGGCCGTAGGGCGGTGGGGTATAGATAGGGCTGAAGCTGGCAACCCCATAAGCAAACTCCTTCTTCCTTAAAAGACAGAGGGTGTCCATATTAAGTTTGTGCTCAGAGAATTCAGCAATATTGCAAAACGATTATATCTTATTTGTCATGGGTGACATGAAAGGTAAACAGAAATTTGTAGCTGGGTGTTCATCAGCTAAGCCTGCCAAAGAGGACTTCTTTGCCCTGAGTTGAATAAGCGCTGCAGAACATACCAGAGCCTTTAGTTCTCCAGGAACTAAAGAATTGGGTCCCTGGTTTAACACATGGTAGAAACCATGGAAGTAAGAGAATTGATGGATTCCACTGAAAATTCCAACTTGCTGTTTTGACGAGGGAAGGTGACTACTGTACTATCTGAAGCCAAAACTCCTAGCAGAGAGTGTATCTTTACACTAACTGTAGTTCAAAAATATCCTTCATCGTCTGCTATGTGCTTATGGTCTTTGTGACCTTTTCAGGGGAAGTGGTTAGGGACAATCATGTTCTCTCAGGTGACAAGCTTCTGAGACACAGTAATTGGGGGTTTGGTCACGCTCATGGTTAAGAGCAAAGTGAGGGGCTGTGAGCTGGTCTCCAGAGATAGCCGTAAGCTAGATTTAATGATCTTTTTCTCTCTGAGACACCATATCTTCCTCTCTGTTTTAAATTTTGTATTTAAGTTCATTTGATGTGTGTTTCTGTTACTTGCAACCATAAAGCCCTTGAGTTCGGCAATGGTGATAGGGGCTGTCATGTGGGGTGGGGTGGGCAACACACATCTGAAGAGGTGAGACCCTGTACCCTTCAACCACACAAGCTTTTATAAACCAATTTACCTCCATAAAATTGATAACCATTAATATACAAGCATGATAAGGCACAGCCTCACTGCATGAGATAAGAAATTCTCTTCTCAGAAAGTGTGCTGGTAACATGTACCACCCAACCTCCGTCAGAGAATGTTTTCAAAATTTTAGTTCCACCTTCAATCCTATACAGTCAAATAATGCTATCTTGATTAAAGAAAATAAATTCATAAAGACAGAAAATAGAATGGACATGGCCAGGGGCTGGGGGTGGGAGAATGAAGAGTTGGTATTTAATAGGCACAGAGTTTAGGTTTTGTAAGATCAAAAATGTTGGAGCTGGAGGTGGGGAAGGCTGCACAACAATGTGGATATGCTTAATGCTGCTGAAATATACTATTAAAAATGGTTAAGGGCCCTGCCTAGTGGCACAGTGGGTTGGAGCACAGCACTGCAAAGCTGACCACAGCTGCTTCAGTGTGAGTTCCATCCCCGACCCTGGAGCTGACCCACATGGCATGGCAGACCTCTCCTGTCTGCCCACTGCTCCCCTCAGCAGTGTATTTTGTCAGTCTGCCTGTTCTGCTCCCCACTCTCTCTCTCTGTTGAATTTTCTCACCACCCTGTACTTTTGGACTATATCCAGTTCTGTGTGCATAAATAAAATTTTTTTTAAAAGATTTTTTTTTAAGATTTATTTATTCATACAGAACTGGGGTACAGGCCAGAGATGCGGAGGGTGAGAGGATTCACCAGAGACAGAGTGGGGAGCAGAACAGGCAGATCGACGAAGTACACTGCTGAGGGGAGCAGCGGGCGGGTCAGGAGAGGTCTGCCACGCCATGTGGTCACCTCCGGGGCAGGCGGGAATCGAACTCATGCGGAAGCGGCTTTAGATTCTCAGTGCTGTGCTTTAGCCCGCTGCGCCACCAGGGAGGGCCAATAAATAAAATTTTTTAAATGGCTGAGATGGCAAACTCTGGAGGCCTCCCTGATGGCCTAAGGGTTAAGTCTCAGTGCTGTCAACACTTGGAACAATGTCACTAAATTCACAATCTCGAGGTGACATCCTGAATTAAGGTGGTCCCTAAATCCAATGGCCTGCTTCTGTACAAGAGACAAAATAGGAGGCGATACAGAGACATGGAGAGAAGGCAACTGTGTGAAGGCAGAGTGGAGCAACGCATCTCAACACAAGGAGTGCCATGTATGACCAAGAGCCACCAAAGCTAGTAGTGAGGTGTTCCTCTGACCTTTCCTGCTGCAGACCCTGGCCCATACCTAGATTCAGCCTCTTGCCTCCAGAACTGGGTGGTAACAGATCTTTCTTCAAGTTGCCAAGTCCATCATGCTTTTGTTAAGGTAGTCCTAGGAAACAAATAGACGCACATACACTAAACTCACTCTTACCTCAGGGTCTTTGCCCAAAATGCCCTTCCTGCAGATTACACCCCACTGGCCTGCAGATTTGTGCCTTGTCTACTTTGTCTTGTCATTCCCAGCTCAGTTTGAGGTCACTTCCTCATAGAAGTTATCTCAGCCTCACTCTGCTTTAGCCTCTCCCTGCCTTGCTACCCCCTTTGACTCTGAGAACTCTCCCCAAGTCCCTTCCATTCACATTCTTGCTTCTTTGCTGTCTTGCTCCCCACCTAACTGTGAGTTCAGAGTGTCAAGATCTTGCTCTCCTTCCACCAACTGACCAGAGCTGCATCTGTCACAGTCATTGCTTAATATATAAAAGCTCATGGGATGAAGAAATGAGCAAAGGTGAGTTGTCTGAACAGACTGGAGTTTCACAGCTGGCTGACTCACACATCCGAGGCTGGGGGATCCCTCCTCCCAGCTCTTCGCTGCTGTCTCCCCCTCTCTAAGAATGTCACCTGTGGCTGCCTTCTTACCTTTCTACCTCTAGGAGCTGCTTGGAGAACTGGACAAACGAACTGCTCTAGAAACATGTAAGAAATTAGAGGCCCTCTACTCTTGTTCACTTACTGCCTTTCACTTATAGCTGGGAGTGTATCGGTGGAGGATCTGCATTTCTTATCTATATCCAAATCAGGATGTCAAAGCAAGCCTCATCTTGTCAAAGAACCAAGGAGTGACAACAATTGGAAATGAAAGCGTAACAGAAACTTGGACCGATCACAGACTCAAACCAGTACATCTCCTTTCTCTCCTGGAATTGGGAACTGAAACTATTCCATCAGAACTTCTTTCTTGCCCCTCCTATGCAAAAATCCCAGTCTGCCCCATTCCTTTTTTAATATGCAAATCACAATAGGAATAGTCACCAAAGTCTAAATAATACATCGAATGCTCTTCCGTTCTCTGTAAAATTGTCTTTGTGTGTGTGTGTGTGTGTGTGTGTGTGTGTGTGTGTCCTCAGCCCCTATCTGCCCTTGCTACTAACCTGTCTCACGATGCAGCTCACCATTCACCCTCATCCTACTTTATAGTCCTTTCCTCCCAGGACGCAGTCAACAACCCATAAAGTGCTTCACTTAAGTAAGATTCATTTCTGTGAACCATGACCCAGACACATGCAGCACCAGACTGTCTCCTGACAAAGTTTATTAAGTGGTAGATTTCTTCTAAGTACAGAAACACAAGCAAATGAAACAACAGTCATCCTCCCCTTGGAGCCTGGGGAAGCATTTCCCTTTTAAAGACAACTGCAAAGGTGGGAAACAGCTCTCCTCCCTGAAGCCTTTTAAGTGCTCAGCCTTCAAATTAGTGTAAACAAGAGAGGAATGGATTAATTGCAGGCTGTGGCACTTAGCCATTTCCTTTCCCTCAGTAACACTATTTTGCTCAGTCCCTCTAGGGACTAACCTCCTTCTCACTGGAAACTCATATATTAAATAAAACTGGCATGTCTCTTACCCTGTCTGTTACTAAAGCTTGGCTGCTTGATGACTTGTCCCACCAAACCCAGATGACCTGTGGTTTGTTGAAGGAGGGTCGCCCCTCATCCCAGCCGCAGGAGCTGCTAGGAACAGGCTAGCTGCTGCCCCAGAAGATGAGGACCATCCAAGTCTCAAGCTTGAAGGAAAGAGGACAGTGAAGCCCCCCGGTGCTAGTGGCCCCCCTGAGGCCCTCTGTTCAGCAGCAATTGTGACAGCTTTGCTATCTTCAGATCTGTGAGTATCAAAGATATATCAGAAGTTTCTGATACCCATTCCCCCGCAATGTCTGTGCCGCAGCCCGAGAGCCCCCTCTGCCACGCCAGCTGCTTCTCTGGAAATTCCAGGGAATCTCAGGCCACGTCTAGTGATGTTACTCTGCGCACCAACCCAGCTGTCTCCAGAGACTTCAGTTCGGGGTGACCGTCTCCCAGGTTATTTAACGAGCTGCTGGAGTCAAGTAGGAGGGCTCTCGGGGGTCTCCCATTAACGCGCCAGCAATGTTCCTAGTGGCGCCCAGATCCCCGGTAAGCTCAACGCTTGTGCTGCGGTTATTATCCACCTCGTCTGGGGTGTTCTTTCGGAAGCAGTGGCGCATCAAGGTGGAGAAGAAGTTGGGGAAAGACGGGCTGGAGAAGTAGTACACCAATGGATCCAGCATGCTGTTCATGTAGGTGAAGCTGAGGGTGATGAAAAATGCCAGGTCCACAGAGCTGTAGACGTCGCAGCTCTTCATGCCTCTCGTGTACAGGAGCCAGAAGATGCGGATGCGCACGGCCACGCTGGGCAGGAAGCAGAGGACGAAGACGATCGCCACCACCATGATGAAATGGATAGCCCTCTTGATCTTGGTGTGCCTGTCCATTTGCCGCTGCCGCAGGCTCCAGATGATTCTAGTGGAGCAGAAGAGAATGATGCTCAGGGGCACGAAGAACTCCAGGAGGAACAAGGCTTCATGCCACCCGAAGCTGTTGCAGATGCTGAAGCTGCTGCACAGCTTGGAGCTGCCAGTCTCAACCAGCTTTTTATTGTATAGAAGGTGACTTGTCAAACCGATGGTGAGAGCCCACAACAGGCAGGAGATGATGGCTGCTGTTCGGTTGGAGATCTTATTCAGTGCATGGTGGGGGTGGACCACCCGGAAGTACCTGTCCACGGCCACCACAGTGAGGAAGATGATGCTGCCCTGGCGGTTCATGGCCAGCATGAAGAGCATCAACCGGCAAGCCACCTCCCCAAACTTCCAATCCCACTTCCTCACGTAGTTGTCCATCAGGAATGGTAGGCAGATGATCAAAAGAAAGTCAGCCACGGCTAGGTTGAACAGGAAAATCCGGCTGGATTTCCAGGACTTGAGGTGGAAGCAGAAAATCCACAAGGCAAGACCATTACCCAAGAGCCCAAACACAAACTCCAGCCCCAGCACTGGCGGTAGCACATTGGCAATAAAGTCGTCACGGAACACACAGCAGTTCTTCCCATGGATTGCCAGGGAGTATTTCAGGAGGCTGTGGGGGCTCATGAGTGGATAGAGGGAGTCCTGCAGAGCAACTCACCTAGCAAACGCTCCGGGAGAGAGGTGTGTGTCTGTGTGGTGAACGTGTGGTTCAGTGAACGCCTTTATGTCATGTCAGGGTGTTGAAATAGATGACTGAATGGTTACCAGGAAGCTACGAAATCACTTAAAAAAAAAAAAACAGTCAAGCTCTTAAGCAACCTGCTGTTTGCATAAACTAGTAATAAAAATCCCCTGGGCAGACAGGAACCCACAAATTTTTCTAAATGTAAAGGATAAGTTTAGACAAGCTGATTCATTTGTGAAATATTGAAAAGAAGGGCATCCCTCAGGAAAGCTGCCTGTCTGCAGAGCACTTAGCCCTGGAGAATGGTTGCTGTCACATGATTAGCTTACATAATGAACAATGTAACAAGCACAGCAACAACAATTCACTGGACTAAAACAGCATGGTTTTCCAGAAATAGCAAGAAGTCATATGAAATATTAATATGCAGGTGACTTAAGAAATGGTGACACACATATGATCTCTTTGCAAATGCAGAGAAGATATTACTCGTCTACTTTATCAGAAAGATGTAAATTTCCTCTCCGAGTGCCAGCCTCTCTTTATCAGTACAATTCAGCAATTAAAAAAAATGAGAGTGGCGTAAATTTCACAATATATCTGAAAACTTGCACCTAGTTTGTATTGCCGGTGGTCTGTTACAATAAGTTGGGTCTTTGTTTGATTTTGCTTGCTGGTGCCAGGTTATGATATGATACTGTGCTCACATCAGTGATTTATTTTGAAGTCCCCAATTTTTTTAACTAATAAGCTTCATTTTAGGTTCATGGAAAAATCGAACAGAAAGTATAGAACTCCTGTCCCATTAATATACAGCGTTCCACACTAAATATGTGATATTTTTAAAGCCCCCTCTTTTGGGAAATTACACTTAGAACCACCAAGCCTTAGAGGACTTTGAACTATGCCTCCCAGTGGGTCACTAGTTCACAGATGGTTTCTTTGCTTTTCAGTGTAATTGGGTGTGGTCCTATAAGACACTTCTACCCATCATGTTTTGATCTCATGAATTCTTACAGTAGCAAAGTTTCTAAATTGTGTTACTATTTTGAGTTGTAAATAGGAAATGTATCTCTGTTTGCACAGTCTAGGATTTTTGAAATTTTTATGAAGAATGAGTCAGGATCAATGATTAGACCCTCATGGGAAGATGAGGGTGGTGATAATGCCAACGTGACACAGCAATCCCATGGTTGGTCACCCTGCTCGAGCCCTAGATACATACTCTTGTTTTTTCATGACTGCATACCACAAAGCACGGACAATGATTGAGTCTGATTTCAAAATAAGGAAAGTGAAGCTCAGCAAGGTTGGAAATATGTTCAAGCCTGCACAGCTAAGAAGAATGGAGCTTAGCCTGGGACCTGGCACTGGCTTCAAGCTGTGTCCCTAACCATTATACAACACCTCAACACAATTCTTATCAAGGGACTGCCCATCTACCTACACCAGATTGAGGTCACATTATGTGGGTGTATTAAGTCTCTAGTAAAATGATCATTATTTGTCTCCCATCTTTTCTGCCCATGGATATCATGTTCCTTCTTGTACGAACATGGACTTGTGATGATTTTCATCAATTAATCATCAGTGCCTTTAGTCAATAGGAGGCAGAAAAACTCACGATTAATAGATATTTTTATGAGCAGGGATTTGTAAGGAATTTTTCCCTTTCTAAGTTTTACAGCTTTATAATTTCTTTAAGCAACAGTCCTAACAAGATTAGAAAAGAACAACAAATACTAAGTTTGAGCAAAGAGGAAAGCTGAACATTTTGCATTCGCTGGACCCTAAGTAGCCTGAGTGTCTCCACCCCTTAGCTTCCTTGAGTCTCTCAGCCAAGGGACCTATCATCATCTTTCTTTCTTCCACCGCTGAGACAATCTTCTAGAATGGTAAACCCACCGTCACAGCTGCTCAGAAAAAAATATAAATTCCAGCTCCCTCAATTCTAGTTCTAGCTATATATGGCATTTCCAGGCTTCCCACTCACTGCTCTTGGCATGTTTTGTCTTGTTCATATCCTTCTTTTATGTACTTAATTTTTTCTTCCTGGTGCATGAGTTATACAGAAACTTGGTATAATGAATCATATCTGCAGCAAAGGTGATTCCAGCGAGTTTTGTGGAAATTGCTCTTAAAATCTGTTAACTTCCGCAATTAACACGAATCTTTTGTGCTTATCTCGTGGTCCTGAATGTCTGCCATGGAACAATTTGAACTAGTTTTTAATTAAAAATAATAATAGCTGTCATTTATCAACAGCTTGCATTGTGCCAGACATTCAGCTAAGAGATTGCCACGTATGGTCACATTTAATTCTCACATAAACCCTGTGGTGATATTATTACTGTAATTACCCCCATTTTACAGATCAAAAAAACTGAGGCTTAGAGAGGTTATGTAATTCATTGTTTCTGGTCTTTGAAGCGAGCTTGGATTTCTGTTTCAGTTATCTATTGCTTAGTAAGAAACTACCACAAGATTCAGTGACTAAAAAGCATTGATCATTTTCTCTCCTGGTTCGTTGGATTGATTGGTTTTATTTTTTAATTTAATTTTTTTGTGTAGAAGAACCAGGGTGCAGACCAGTTCCCCATGCTTCTAATTTGTTGATTTGAGGATTCACCAGAGACAGAGTGGGGAGCATAACAGGTGGATCCACTGAAATATACTGCTGAGGGGAGCATGAGGAGACAGGAGAGGCCTGCCATGCCCTGTGGCTCAGCTCCCTAGCCACATTGAACTTGGGGCATAGCAGTGATAACTTCTAGGCCCTGTGGCCTAGAGGCTGACTGGCTTTAGTTGGTCGATTCTCATTTGCAATGGTTCAGGTGGCAGCTAAGCTCAAGGAGGACACAGACTTGGGCGTCTCTCCTTCACAGTCTCTCTCTGACTCTTCATTGGCATCTGTATGGGACATTTGCCCTATTCTTTCCGGGGAGTTAGCTGAACATCTTATAAGGCTACTTAGGATTCTGAAGCACACAGAGAACATTTCTACTGGCTGGGCTCAGAAATGCCAGGACATCACCTCTATCCTGGCCTTGGACCCAGTCCATACTCTGCTGTAGGGGTCCCCAGCAAATGGGAGTTCATTGGGGACCTTTCGGGGACTTGCCTTGGTAGGTGATAAGTGACATTGAGTTGGGACACTCAGATAGCGAGAAACAAGAGACCTCAGGATTGCTTGTGAAGGAAATGAACTAGGAGAAATTGGGAAATCAGGAGGCAGGGAAGGATCTGGTGACAGTGACTGGCAGAGACATATGAAAAGGAGAAAGTTACTTCTGGTTTTGAAATAATGTTGAGTTAAATGTGAAAAACCTACAAGCAAACGAGAATGACCAAATAAATAATCTTGAAAGAGAAGAATACAGTTGGAGGACTCACACATCTAAATGTTAGGCAAAAAAATCTCTTAGAGGTCAAGCTAAAAGTAGGTCTTCATGACATTTACTTAAGCAAAACACCTTAGATTCAACAGCAATGCCCAAACAACAGCAACAACTTGACAAATTGGTCCTCATGTCTTCAAAGGTGTGACTTTATTTTTTTAACAAAAGAAGGGGAAGGAAACATCAAAAAAGCAAAAGAGCAATTTGCTCTTGGCAAGAATGTGGAAGAGGCTTTGTATATAGTGTCGGAGGAGAAGTCACCTCAGCCATTTTGTTGGGCAAGCAGTGGTGCTCATAGTAGTGATCATAAGAGTGAAAATCAGGTACGTAGAGCCCACAGAAACAGATTATCCTGAGGGAGGTGCTGTCCCAGGTGCTCCATGCACCATCTAGTCCACCCAGACCCCCACCACCACCACCCCCAAAGCAGACTCTTCCATTTTCCCACTTTACGAACAAGAAAAGTCAGGCTGGGAGAGGTTATGGACCTTGCCTGAGGTCCTTTTGCTAGTAAGTAAAGGAGATGGGACTTGAACCCCCACTGACTCACCCAGGGGTTATGCTTCCAGCCCTTGTGCACACTGCCTCCCCAAGCATGTTCTTCCACATCTAAGAATCTATTTTCCATAAACACTGGTACATATGTCCAAAGACAGAGCATTCAGAATAATCCATGTGGTGGCAATGGAGGAAAATTGGAAGCAAGCACCCATCAACAGGCCATTGGCTAAGTACTGTTGGTTCATTTACCCCATAAATAGAGTTAAAAACAATGTGCTTGACCTCTATTCTGAGGTAAGAAACTATTTGTGATAAGACTTGGCAAAATCATATGTGTGTGTGTGTGTGTGTGTGTGTGCGATTTGCACATATAACCCTGCTTTAGCAAAACAAAAGACCCCTATTATCTGTGTCCAGCACGTCTAGACCCATAAAATCCTCCATACATAAGTATAGAGAATGAAAGGAAGATGTTTCCTTTTTGTGTTTGAGTAGTCTTTGATTTTTTTAAAAGAACACTTAACTGGCTATAAGTAAGTAAACTCTTTTTTTTTTTAAAGAAGGGAATCTGGGGCCCTCCCTGGTAGCACAATGGGTTAGAGCACAGCACTGCAAGCAAGCTGTGGCTGCTTCAATGCAAGTTTGATCCCCAGCCCTGGAGATGATCCACAGACCTCTCCTGACCCACCCTCTCCTGCTCCCCATCGATCTGCCTGTTCTGCTCCTCACTTTGTCTCTGGTGAGTCCTCTCGCCGCCCCTGTACCTATTGCCAGTGCCCCAGTTCTGTATGCATAAATATATCTTACAAAAAAAAAAGGGAATCAGAAAGACTTTGGAGGAAACTCTTGTCTTCAGGGGATGTAAGATCCTTGGAGGACGCCATCACATCACATCTTACTACGCTGTGATAGCCCTAGCCTGGACTTTCCCTTCCTGCCCCACTCATCCTCCTGCCATTCCCAGACAGTTGGCTCTTTTTTACCTCTCTCTTTCCCCCTGACTCACCTGGTTGCCTCCCATCCATCCTGCAAGGCAGGAT